ACAACTCAACCCTCTGCTCCATGCTTCCCAAAAAGCCACAGCTAGCAGCAGCCAGCTGAGCAACCAGGACCATCAGAGGCAGCCACGTTGAGGAGGCTAAGCCCTAGGCAGGAGCCTTCCAGAAGGAGCTGCAGCACCTAACCTGCAGCTGTGCTGACTGACCAAGGAGAGGGGAAACGGTGCATCCTTGAGACAAGCTTTTTTCTGCTGCCTTCTCTGCTTCTTGGGAGGAGGAACATCGCTGGCCACAGACAGCTGACTGGGAGCAAAGGACTCCCCTTTTTTCCTCCTGGTACTGAGGCAACGTGCCCTGTCATTTCTGCTCTCACGCCGGAAAGAGCCACTTGTGCAACACCGCATGACTTGTGCCATAGCCTCCTGCCTCGCGCTGTCACCGCGCTGCCATCAGCCACACTGAGAGGGACAGCCGAGGTAACACGGGGCCACCTCGGGAGCGGCTCAGGTGAGGGGAGGAGAGGTGTGACAGCTCGGGAAGGAACCCGGATGGATGGCCACGGTTACAGACACACAACATGGCCTCTGCGAAACGGAGGAGGAGAGACGCCTCGGCCACGCCGCGAGCACCTCTGCTTCCCTGGCTCCCCTGAGCGGCTGCCAGGCCCCTCCGGCGGCCCCGCGTTTCTTTCCGGCTGTCATTTACCGGCAGGACCGCGGCCGGCAGGGCGGCCCGCAGCGCTGCGGGCGGCTGTGACAGGAGCGGGGCCGGCGTGTCGGGGAGAGCGTGCCGGACAGCCCGTTCGCCCCGAGGGACCCCCGGCCCTCCCCACGGCGCCGGGACCCATCGGCGGCACGGAACTCCCCCCGCCGCGGGACAGGGTAGGCGGCACGCAGCCCCTCCGCGGGGATCCGCCATGTTGGGGCCGCCGGCGTCGCCGAGCCCCCCACCCGCTCCCCTCGCGCCGCGGCCCCCTCGCTCGCTCATTGCCGAGCCCCGCGGGAGCGCGACGCGGCCGCAGCGCGGCCCCGGCGCCCGGCCCGCCCCTCCCGTCCGCCGCTCGGCGGGCACGGCCGGCCGCCATGTTAGCGCGGCGCCCGCTGACCCTCCGCCCGTGGCTCCCTTCGCCCACCCCATCCCCGGGACGCAGCCCCAAAGCGCCGGGCGGCGGCGGCAGCCCCGCAGCGGCAGAGGAGAGGGGCTATCGCGGCCGTGACTCATCCCCCCCACGTCCCGTTTGCCTCCGCCGGCGAGGGGACAGCCGGGCTCGCCCTGGCTGGGAACGGGCAGCGTGACGGCGGCCTCAGCCCCGGCCCCGCTTCCCGCCGGCCCCCGGGTGCCCCGCGCGGGTGGGGCAGCCCCGGCCCCAGTACTCACGTGAGATAACGGCCCGAAAGATTTGGTAAATCGTCTTCTCTTTTTAGGCGGAATTTTTAAAGAGGGATGTGGGAACCTACAGCAGAAATACAGGCGGCGGCAGCGGCGCCTTCCAGGGCCATAGGCTGCGGGGGCGACCGGCGGGGAAAGCGCAGCGCAGCGCCGGTACGGGAGGGCACGGACACAGAGAGACGAGACGGAACGGAGCGGGCCGGGGCGCGGGGCTGCGGCGGAACGAGAACGGAGCGCGGGCGGCGGAGCGGCGCGGCGGGCAGAGGAGCAGGGGGCGCCGCCGGCAGCGCTCTTATAGGCGGGGAGGGGCCGGGACCGCGCGTCACCGGCTGCGGGGCGGGAAGAGCCGTCGCCGCTCCCGCCTTCCCGCCTCAAACCCGGCTCCCCGCGGGCCTGGTTGCGCTCCCGCCCGCCCCGTGCCGGCGGCGGAGGAGGCACTGCCTCGCCGCTCCCGATCCGCCGACGTGGAGGCGGCCGCCGGGGCAGGTGCGGGCCGCACTCTGCGGCCGCTTCCCTTGGGGCCCGAGTGCCGCGCTGAGCGGGACCCGCGTCCGCCGCTCTTTGAGGCGCCGGGGCGTCTTCGGAAGTGGAGCTTTTTGTTTTGAGCCGCCAGTTCGGGAATGGCAGGGAACGGCACCGTGAACAGCGGGGCAAGGGGAGTGCAGGGCCTGCGGAAAGAGTGAAGCGTGTATGACACAGGCATTGGGTTCGGGACGCTGAGTTGTTTCCAGAATCGGGGCCCTTGGAAGACAGTGCTCGAAAACCCACCTTTTTTTTGCAGCCCTTTTTGTAGTTCCATGCAGAGAGCAGGTCGGGAGCTGTCAGAGACCATCCTTCAGAGCCCAAGGCGGGTTTTGTGTGACAGCCTGGATCTCCATTCCATGACAACATCCACAGCAATGAGACCAGGCCGGTGTCATGCAGTGCTGAGCAGGTGGCAGAGGTCAGGTCCTTGCAGCCGGCCAGGAGCCTGCTTCACCAAGGGAACGGAAGCCTGCTGCTGATACATGGAGCATTAAGCTGTGAGCAAAGCTCACTGGAGGAGACCGAGCATGGAATGGTTTGGGTTGGAAGGGACCTAACTCGCCTTACTCTTAGTTGAGTTTCAAGACAAGTAAATACATGAACTAGTGGGATTTAGCCTACCCGCTTAGGTGCTCGTACATCTGCACATCCTAAGGTCCTTATTACTTCATAACATCCTTGTGAGGAAGCACAGCTCATGCTGCAGGTGGAAAACGGCCACTCAGAGACAGGGTGCTCAGGTGAAGGTCGCCAAGGCGCTTGGTGGTGGAGCTGAGAACTGAACCCTGATCCCACAGTCCTGCCATGTTAGTTTCCAAAGTACACAGGGCTGCCAGGTTCCTAAAGCTCCTTCAAGCAGTTGTAGTGCTTCCAAGGTGCTAAGAAAAGATAGAAAAGGATGGAAAGTAATTGTTTTGGAAGGTAATTGTTAACCCAAGAACACACTAATTTATTAATTAAAACCAAAATCCTGTGGGTTAGTGCAGGTTGGATTTTTTTTTCTTCCAAGGTAAAGCTGGGTTTGTTGAGTTTTGTAGAAGAGAGAATGTAGAAAAGTGGCCAATAGACACACACCTGTCATCTCTGCAGAAATAGAATGAGACAGAAGTTCTGCAGAATGCAGTGATGGAGTTTGTTTACTCTTCATCTGTTGTCACCTTCTCTTTTGCGAATCATTTTAAATGAGGAGGAAGTGAGCTGACAAATGTATGCAGTCTCAGTGCGGTGTCTCATCTTTCCCGATAAGAGCACTAAGAGGATACAGATCAGCCAGTAAAATCAGGCACTTAATGCAGAAGTCAATGGACTTCTTGCATACATTTGTGACAAGCCCTGCATTCAGGAATAAAGCCACAACAGTTTGCACTGCTGTTTTCTCAAGTGTGTTCTGTGCTACACTCCTCATTGGTGACTCGCCTGCTGTTTTGAGTTCCTATTCTGGAATAGTAAGTGCAGGAGGAGGAAAGGAATCACTGAAAACCCAAAAATATAACCCACACACTGAAAAAAGAAAAAGAAAAAAAAAGAAAGCTGTAAAGAGATAGGAAGAGAGATTTGGACAGATCCTGGACAAGGGTACCATAAATGTGAATCATTAACAGGCAAAAAGCAAGGAAGGATTAGAGGGGAGGACAAAGGTTATAGGGATATAACTAGAGGAGCCATTCAGACTGCTATATTCTTAGGCAATACAGATTTTTTTTAATGTATTTTTGGAAGGGATTTAAACTAGGAAAAGGGTTTAGTTTAGAAGTTTGGAGGAGTTTAGTGATGGTGAAAGAATAAGTAAAAAAAAAATAAAAATAGGTCAACAGTAGTTCCATGTAGAACTATTTATTTTATCTGTGTTCTTATCTTGTGATGGCAGTAGCTGAAGATGTCTCAGCAGTGCATGAGGAATGTGACTGCCACATCAGTTGCTGCCATTTCATCTACATGCACCTTCCCAGAGGAGTTCTTGTTTTGCTAGATAGGGGATGTTTTTAATATTCTTACCGTGCACATGAAAACAGGCTTACTATTGAGGAGGGGAGGACAGTCACGTAGGCCAGGAAAAAGAAGTTCAGTTTGATATGCAATTAATTGGGGGCACTGTCAGCTATTTTAAAACGTGGAGGGAGGGAGGATTTCCTGCTCGTGGGGGAAGCAACACTTGAAAACAGAAACATAAACTTCATCCTCTCCAATCTACTGAAGAAACAAAAAGAAGTGGCACACTGTTCAAGAGTGAACTACTTGCAGAATGAGGACCCACACTCTATGCAGTGTTTCCACTTTCACTGGTGACAATAGTGCAGAAATAGAAAACTGATGTCACAGCTTGAAAGTGTATGTAGTTTTATCATTGTACTTCACAAAACTAATGCTGCTTTGTACTCACAGGCAGAATGCAAGAAGTTCAGTAACAGTTCCTTCATTAACATTTGTCTACACTAAGTTTTAATCCTTCAGTTAGTAACCTTGTGTGGCTCTGCATGCACAAAGTGCTTCATGGTTTACTAGAGTAACAGCTCGCGTTGTGTTCTGTAAGATGAAAAGCCAGGGGAGCACAAAAGGCAGGTACAGCCCTCACTTCCAATTGTGAGGCTCTTGTACCACATTTCCTTTTCTGCCTCCACACGTGTTGTTTCCCGCACTGCTGACAGTTGGATATAGACAAAATTAGGTTTTATCCGTGTGACTCAGATAAACAGGAGCAGGAAGGACACCCTTCCCCACCTCTCATTTTGGAATGCAAAAAATACTCAGTGGTGAGGTAAGCCTGTGGTCAGGAGTTTCAAACTGATTTGGGCAGATGTCTGAAGGCTGTGTAGCCTGATGACCTTCTCCACTAACCCAAAGTATTTCCTTCTCTTTATGTCTTCCTATGGGCTACCTTTTCTCGCCTCTGGTTCTCCCATTTCCTTTCCCTCTCTGATGCACTCTCTATCACCAGACATCAGCAGGGATCAGATTCCGCTCCTGCAGGTGAGAGAATGAGATTATTTCCTCCTCCGTCTCCTCTTCCTCTTCCCTCTTTGCTGCCAGCTCCTGCAGTCATCAGTATTTTTTCTTAAAGCCTCAGGTGCAGGAATTGTACGGGTGTGCAAGAATTTCCAACTTCCATCGAGAATAAAATCATGCTCACAAAGAGTTTGAAATGTGTTTACTGAAAACACGGAGCAACAGAAGATAAATACACATAATAACCCACTTTTTGTGTAGGGAAAAGGTTGCTGCAATTTCAGAATACTTGGACTTGGCAATATGGTTTCTCTCTTGGCTTCTTGGCTTCACGTCCATGCGGAGGCATCCGGTGCCAGGAACAGTTAGCAATCTGTAGCTGTCCAGCAGGAGCACTGAGCCATTGCAGTAGGAGGAAAGAAGCAGTCAAAATTTCATTTTGGTCTGAGCTGCGTAGGGGAGGAATGGCTGTGCACAGAGCAGGCATAGGAGGAAAGGAAAATGAGCACGGGGGCAGATGACAGGACCCCTTGTTCCCACTGTGCTATAGAAGTGCCAGATTTCCAGCAGCCTCTATGTAGTAGAACAATCTATATAAATGGGACCTGCTGGCAGTACTCTTCCTTTTGGTACTCGAATCTTTGTACCTTTCTCATTGCTGCATAGTTCAGAGCTATCACTGTTCCTGTCCAGTGGAAAGAAACACTGATAAGCAGCTGGAGGATTGATTCATAATTATTAAAAGCACAGAGGTGGTGGGAGGAAAGACATCTCTGCCTTAGCACACAAAGCAGTCGCCTCTCAGCTATGTTTGCTGAATTATTGGCCGGATCAAAATAGCTGCAGCAGAAATCAGATCTGGTCTTGGATTAGACTGGTTTACGCAGTGAATATTTACAGAATACATCTCATACTCACGCTAAGTCATTTGAACAAAGAGAAGGTTAAAAAATGAGTATGTACAGGCTCACTGTTTTGACTGACATAGCTTCTATAGTGGCATGTGGGGTGATCTGACGCACAGAAAATTGATGGAAACAGTGGCTCAAATCACTGTGTAAGAGTATCACAAATAAGTAACACAATTTGGTCATTTTAGAAAATTCTAAAGTAAAAAAATCAGTCTTGATTTAGGGAGTATCTAGCAATATGCTGTAACCACAGTTGCTGTTTACAGATGTAGCCTTTATCAGTCCACTACTAAAATGTCATTCACCTCTACAAAAACCTTGAGTGGATGACCAGAGACTAAAAGAAAATGTCTGTTAACTAGATATCTTACCAGCTGAATGAGGATTATCAAAGAGAATATTCAAATATGAGCATTACTGTGGAGTCCAGTAACCTGCATGCATACGGTATATTAACTAGTTAACAGCAAGAAGATTCAATAGCTTTAAGTACCCGCAATAGAATATGGTCTTCCTACTATCAAGAAATAGACCTAAGCTCAGCCCAAGTTAGAAACAACTTGGACTTGTTATGTAGTAGAGATTTAGTTGTGTATTGATCATTCACATTCTAGCTCCTTCTGTCCAGGTACTGTAGATTATCATGAAAACCTGCAGGATCAGGCGGTGGCTCAGGGTTCGGCCTCTGTGAAATTTATCCTTTGTCATTATGAATGTCTTTAGACTGGTGAAGAGGCATGAAGTTTTCCTTATGAATAAACAGGAGGCATCTGTTCCCAGAAGAGTGAACTAATGAACGGGGATAGGTCCATATCAACTTAAAAATGCAGCAGTCCAAGTGCTGAAGTGAGATGACGTGTTCCGCGCGCCATCCAGGCCATCCAGGCCTTCTGATGAAAGTTAAAGCAATGTGTGTGGTGCTGTTACTAGTGGTTACAGAATGGAGGGAGTATTTTCTGGACAGGAATCATAGAATCACAGAATAGCTTGGATAGAAAGGGACACTAGAGACCACTTCCTGCAGGCAGGGTTACAGCCCACAGCTCAGAATGCCCAGGGCTCTTCCAGCCTGGCCTTGAATGCGTCCAAGGATGGGGCATCCTCAGCTGCTTTGGGCAGCCTGTGCCTCACCACCCTCTGAGTACGTAATTTCCCCCTAATATCTAATCTAAATATCCCCTCTTTGAGTTTAAAACAATTCCTCCTTGTCCTATCACTATCAGACCATGTAAAAAAGTCTGTCTTCCTCCTGTTTATAAGTTCCCTTTAAGTGCTGAAAAGTCAAAATGAGGTCTCCCCGCAACTTTCTCTTCTCCAGACTGAACAAGCCCAATTCCCTCAGCCTTTCACAGGAGAGGTGCTCCAGTCCTCTGATCACCTTTGTGCCCTCCTCTAGACAGCTCCACATCTTTCTTGAGCTGGGGTCCCCACATCTGGACACAGTGCTGCAGGTGGGCAGAGCAGAGGGAAAAAATCCCTTCCATCTCCCTGCTGCCGTCCCTCTGTTGATGCAGCCCAGGATGCAGTTGGCTTCTGGCTGCAAGTGCACACTGCTGGCTCATGTCCAGCTTTTTGTCCATCATCTGTGTTGCTGTATGTTACACTTGGAAGGATTTTTTTCCATCCAGATTTTTTTTTCTCAGCCCTGTATGTTTTGTATAAGTAGTCTTTCCCAAGTTTGATCCTTGCTCTACACAATTAGGAGTGTTCTCACACTCCTACGCTTGCTGGTAATTCTTGTCACTCACCTTTCAGCTTGCCAAAGACACACGTGTTCTTGTGTTTTCCAGACAGCAGATGCAGCGGTTTGACTGAGCTTCCCTGGCTGCTAGGGCATTTTGTCAAGCACAAGTTCCCTCAGTTTTCAGAGAGGAAGTTTTCCAACTGGGCCTTGAAGGAACACTGCACTCATCAGTGTCCCTCTCTGCCATCCTGTGTGACCTGTGAGCAGTGAGGGGGAGAGTGATCTCTTGAGACCTCATGTCAATCTTAGAGGCCTCTGAATATCTTTGTTTTCTTTTCGACAAAAAAATATTTGACCCACTTAAGATGAATCTTGTTTACTTGCGTGAATAGATTTACTAATATTAGCAGAAGTAAGATAAGCAGACTGGCACTATTCACAGCCATCTGCATCTGAAATTTTGCATGCATTAGAAGTTAAGACAGACTTCCTCAAAAGGAATTTTTTTCCATAAAGAAAAGAAAATCCTTATATGCCATGTATGGCAGCAGAGACCAATGTGAGATAATTATTCCTAAAACACAATGAGGAGCATACAGAAAGACCTGCAGGATCTGCACATACATTGAAAGGAGAGGAGCTGCACAGCTCCAACTTGTGCACTGAGTTGTCAGAGCACTGCTGCTGGCACTTGGGGCTTCTAAAGATATGGTCTGTCAATAAGATTTTGAGTCCCTATTTGGATGCAGTCAAGCTGGATTTTCATCTCTAGCAAGCTGTGTTAATGTACCTGATGTTCTCTTGAGGCTGGCCCTGATCTCTAAGATTTGTAGCTTGTAATTTCTGTTTCTAGGCTCATCCTTTCTGTGGTCCTCAAAATCAGGAAAAGAAATCCCTTTTTAATTTTGTTGCCATTAAAGTCCCCTGAGCCAATTGATCTTATTCAGGACTTCAGCCACACTTTGCCCAAGAATGTGAGGAAATTTCCTGGGTCAGATGTGAGATGGAAATAAAAGTGAAGTCTGGGTATCTTTTGTTTGGTGTCCGATGCTCTTTTTCATACCTAGCAGCCAGAATGTGTGGCCCAGTGAGCATTCTCAAACCAGAAGATGCACTGCCGAGCCAGGAGTTCTCACCTGTTTCTAACAACTCCTAACCCCAAGGTATGATCCTAAGAGCAGATCCAGACAGGCAGCAGGGTTAGGCTTGACAAAGCCAACAGTGGGCAGGAGGCACAAGCTGCTGAGAGCTGCTGCGCTGAGCCAGGCAAAGGGGCTGTGGCTCTGCTGCTCCCCTCTTCGTGGAGACCTCCAGAACTGGGGATGGCAAACAGTGGCTGACAGCAGTGAGCACTGTGCCATGGATCTGACCATCTGTCTGACCATTATGAGAATCACCAGTAAAACTGGTCTGCAACTCTGAGAACAGGATTTGTTTTTTTGTTAAAAACTGTGCAAAGGGGGCAGATAATTCTGTTCATGCTTGAAATAGTAAGAAAAGAAGTAACAGTGAATGCTTTGCAGAATACATTCTCCTGTGAGTAAAAGATTCGAAGGCACCAGATTGTTTTCAATGGATTATTTTGAAATAAGTAGGATGCAGCCTCACTGAAATTTCTGCAAGCACTGACAGTGCCACAAATGCATTGATGTGGCAGGAACATGTTCTCTGGGTCACGAACATTTTCGAAATTCCATACTCCTCTTTGATGCCACTCAGCAGACAGCCTTGAAAATTCATTTTGTTAGCAAAAAACACCACCATCCTCTCCTTCTTCTCAACTTCTTTCTATACCCTTCTCCATTTTATATAATTTTCCTGTGCATTTCAGAATTTGCTTCCCCCCTTCCACAGTGCCTGAGGCAAGGTAGAGCAACAACACCATACCAGGGAGGCTTCTGTGGTTCCACAACTGGTTGTCCTAGTGGGGAAGAATTGTGTGAAGCAGTGTCTTTCCATCATTTTGGATTTGGTCCTGATCTCTTTCTGGTTACAGAACAGGGCTACAGGCTTTTTTTTTTTTCTTTTTTTTCTTTTTTTTCCAGGTTTGCCCTCAGGAGCCAAAGGAATGCTTACCCTTTTCTATAGGAGAAGCAGGGTTCAGAAGATTGATTATAATAATAAACTAGGGATTGTGTTTCTCAGATTTTACATGTAAACACAATCTTAAGTGTAATTGGTTTCAATGACTTCCATTTAATTCTTGAACAAAGTTTCCTTTTAAATTCCACACCAGATTGGACATGGCCAAAGATAAACTGAATGCGATTAGATCTACTATTTGCTTTGATTATATGCTACATTATTTCTTACAACAAACTGTTTATTACACAAAGCTAATGGTCATACTCATGCATGTAACAAATCTAATATATTGCAAACTGTGACAAAATGATACTTTCCAAATTCAAGTCTGGAAAAAAAAACAACCAAAAACTTGTTCTATGAAAGAGTTTCATCTACAGTTACATCCTTGTCAATGTTCAAGTCATCACTTTCACAAAGAATTCTTAAACTAAGAATTTAATGCACACTTCTCATCATTACACAAATCAGAAATCTTAATTACACTGCCTTTTCATGATAACTTTAATTTACATTCACTTAATGAATGTATATTCTTAAGTAGAATGTCTGAATTTAAATGTTTTTATGGCGTTGTTAACATAATACTCCTTAAAACTGTTAATAAGACCTCTAAAAAGACTTGCTCTCATCTATGCTGAGCCAGCTGTTGCATGAGCCGCCATGGAATTATTTGAATACTCATGAAATTTACTGAAAATTAGCCTTGTCTCCATCATCATCCCTTCGAACAACAACAACCACCAAATGGTGTCACAATGACAACAAAAGGGAATCCATAAAACTAGACCTTCATGTCTGTGACAAGAATTCTTCAGTGCATTTCCTGGAAATGTGTAAAATCAAGATGATCTTCTAATATTTAACCCAAACAATTCTAACTTAACCCTCCCCCCTGTCCTCCCTTGCTGAGATGATTTATGATGATTTATCATGATTTCATCGTGGCAACTACAAATTAATGAGGAGAGGATATAGTCCCTGAAAATACAAATATTTGATCATAGGAATTGTTAGCCCTTGAAATGCAATGCTGCTTACCACAGAGCTAATCCAACTACTCTCTGTTCTGAATTTCCACGTCAACCCTTGCCTTGTCTTGTTCATGCAGCTGAGGAATGCAAATGCCATGCCTTACAAAATAAAATCCGAAAACAGCAGCAGAACCTCTGCCATCATCCATTGGCCTAAAACATAAGGGCCTAGACTTAGGAAAAATGGCTTGCCCAAATTATACCACTTCTACAATGTATTAGGGATAATGTATGAATGCCAGACTTTGCTATTTGGATGTCTATTTAAATTCCATGGTGGCAAAAGCAGAACACACATAACTTAACATCTCCAACATGGTGGGAAGTCTTCTGGTACAGCTAACAATGGAAAGCCTACTGAGATTTCTAATTTGCCACATACAGTGACATGCCAGGCGCTGTGCTCCTGCCTGGCTCACCCCCAAGCCCTTTGCTCTCACAGCTCTTCCCAGCTGCACCTGGCTGCAGTCCCCAGCCATACTGCTGGTCTCACACTCTGCTGCAATGCCTTGAAGTTTCTTCTTCCTTCCATTTTCCCAATTCCTCAGGGACTTTTTGCTTGTCTCAGTATCGCTGCTACTCCCACTGTCTCTTTTTCTGATCTCAATGTTTTTTGCTCCCTATTTTGTAGGGGATTTTTCTTCTTGGTTGTTCAGTTCCATTGAAGATGGTAGAAAGATGTGATCCCTACAGATAGCTCAGAAAATCTACTGATGATTCAAAATAAGCACTTAAAAACACTCCAAATGCCATATTGTGTCACTGTGAAATCTTAAAAACATGGATTGTCCCTTTTGCCAAGCACTAAGTAGAAACGGGCTTGTAAGGGCACCTTGCCATTTTTCTTTGAGAAGAATTAATGGAATAGACATCCAAATCATCCTTCTTTGCCACACATATCATGTGTTCATAAATCTGTTCACCTTGAATAAAAACAGCGAACACAACAGAAGATTTGGCACACGTGATCCTTCTTGCAGCACCACAGCTAAGACACTGTTGTGTTTGGGGCCCTTTATTCCAAAGCACTGTCTTGTTATTGTCTTTTTAAGCTGTCTGGTTTCTAAATTCTGATCAGAAGAATGTTTCCACTGTCCAGATACCAGCCTGCCTCGTGCCAGCCTGTTGGCCTGACCAGCATTTCCTTGAGGTCCGTTGTCTCCAGAAAAGGGGCCTAGCAGGTTAAGTATGGCTGGGCCAGGAGGCCTGGGGCAGCAGGCTGCACTGCACAGCCACGCACTTCAGCAAGATGTGTTCATCACCCCACCTGTCAGAAAGTTACAGAATATCCCGAGTTGGAATGGGCCCTCAAGGCTCATTGAGTCCAGCTCCCAGCTGGACCACAAAGGACCACTCAAAATTCAAACCCTATGTAGCCCCATGTATTGCGCATAGCGACATCTCCATCTTTTTTCTCAGGTGGAAAGGATCCAGCAAACAGAGCCTTCTTCTTTCAGTGGAAGAGGAATGGATGCAACTTATGCTCTGCTCTTCCTGTATACCTCCTCCAGCAGGGAGGCTGCTTGGTGCCCACACAAGTAAATGTGTCAGCAGGAGGCCATGGTCACTTCCGGTGCCAGCCTGCTGGCTCTTGTACATTTCTGACAAAAGCATGTAGATAATGATGGTGACTATTTTGAAAAATAATATTTTGTAGCGGAGAATTTCCTCCATCAAACGGTGTTATTGTGTTCTTTGTAGCTGTTGTATTTTCCATGGAAATAAATAGGAGGCATTACTTATGGAGCAATCTACATACATTTGCTTGGCACTCTGAATGAGCTAATGAGCAACATATAAGGAAAGGGAACACTTGCAGAGCACTCCAAGGAGCCCCTGGGCACAGGGCTGGTGGGAGCACATGCAGCTGTGCTGCCTGCAGGACGGGGCTGCTCCCTGTGCCTGACACCATTAGCATTCCTTGTCAGCCACAGCTCCCAGCACCGTCTGTGCACAACTTGGGAAAACCAGGTCACTGTCTCGGCTCATCCTCCTTGATAAGCAATGTTTTCTTCTGCTGCTCTGAGGCTTCGGACGGTGTAATTAGTTGTCACTAATGTTCGATTCTGTGTTCAACTGCTTCAGCCCAGGCCAAAAATGAAGGTTTTGCATAGTTTGCATGCCCTAATAGGAGGGGAACTTGAGAGAGACCCATTTTCCTTGTGTTATAATGATGCAGCTGATAGTTTTCAAAAGACCAGAAAGAATACTAATGACATGTTAAGCTTTCAGCACTCCCAGAACAGAGAATAAATGAGATTCCAATGAAAATACAAAGCTATACACCTACCCGTGCCAGATAACAACTTGTACTGCAAGGCTGTCATAACGAGCAAACTGAAATTATGCCCTCAAGCAGAAAAACTGCCTGAAATTGCATTTAACTGCTTTGAGTTGCAGGAAGATGAGAATCCTGATATTCCAAAGAAGCTGGAGGGTGGAAAAAAGGAAGAAGTCAACCCAAGTGCCAGACCAGAAATCCAGCTTTCTGCAATGCAATGCTGGAGTTGAAGTCTTTTAAGCCTCTGGGGAATACATTTTGAGGGGAATGTATGGAGTTGGTCCATGGTGATTAAGAAAGCCAACTTTACAAACGGTCAAGAGGTTTTATGCTGTGGATAAAAAAATAAGCATAAATGCCCTCAAAGAATCATCTGGATGATGCAGTGTAGCTTGTTTCTTGGCAGAGCAGCTGTATCAGTAATTAAGGCTGCATTAATGTGTTCTGTAGGTGTCACTGTAATGGCAGTGTCTGCATCGATCGAAGTGACTGAGCAGTGTGAAGAGCCAGGAGCTGCATGCACTCTTTGCCAAAAATGCGCTTACAATTTGACATGCCAGAACACCATTAAAAATAGCATCACTTAAGTCATAAACAACAAGGCAGATGATATTAGCATCCAGTACAGTAACTGCAAAGTCAACGTGCAGTATTTCGGGAGATGGAATATGAAGCAGAGCATGCATTAGCAGTCATTCCAAGATGGTCTCTTTGGACAGAAGAGCACTAGCTTCAAAGAACTGCATTCTGCTTTGTGTGTGCTGGGAAGCAGGGAATGAGAAGAGGGGTCATGAAATTACAGCTGGAACTAATGACACTGGAAAAATTGAAATTCCTCTTTTGCAGTGATTCGGGTTAAGCAGTCCTAAGCATGCAGTATGAGCTACATACAACTGCAAACAACCATAGGTCAGTTCATGTAGTAAGGCGGAAGTCAGAAAGAGAAATATTTTCTGAAAAAAAGAAAAAGAAATGTTTCCATGTAGTAACCTTTGTAGTTAAGCATAGATGATCCTCGCTGCCCCAGTCAGCAGAGGAATTTTATAGGTGCTTCAAATACATTAAAATACATCAATTAAATACATTAAAATACTTCAAATACATTTTACTATCATCATTATTTAAGCAGAATTCAGCCCCGGAGGCCACATAACAGTTAAACTTGTCATAACAACTCCAAATATAATAGGAGCACAAGCTCAAGATACTCTTCAGATGTGTGCTGCTAATTGCAGTTACAATGGTATTATTTTCCAGCTTCATCTCCTGCAAGCCAGCACGTTGCTAATAGATGGAGAAGTAACTCATTTTGGTAAGCCCAGTCACACGTTACCTGTCTTCTCAAATGATCCGTGTAATGAAAGCTATTGCAGTGCTAACCACAATCAGCACCATGTGGTAATGCCTGTTCAGTCCTCCGCGCTGTATTTCAACCTTGCTTTGGCTCACAACAGGGCGAACGCAATTTAAAAACTCCAGGATGGAAATCCTTCTTGGAAACATTTCCAGATTTGTACTTGAGCATTAATTGCGCTTGACGCTTGATTTGCAACAAAGAACACCTTACAGTGACTGGACGTGTGCATTGCGAAAAGTAAGATAAAGGAATGTCTGTGACGCAGATTCTCGCAGCTGACGTTCTCCGGTGATATTTAGACTATGTAAATATGGGCAATGTAAGTAGTGATCTTATTTGCAATGCGGCTGCCGAATTCTTGGGAAGAAACCCAAACCTTGCATTTGCCTCCTTCCACAGAACAAGCCCCACAGGAGCACAGCAAGTACTCCCTGTTTAGATGTGGTACAGAGGAAGATCTTTGTGTAAAAAGCCCTCTGTACTCATGAACTCTGCAAAGGAAAACATGCAACAGGATGCTTTTTTTGTTTGTTTTTAAATACACATCTTCCAGGAGAAAAAAATAAAAATAAAAAGGGAGAGATTTCCACGTTCACAAACTGTCACATGTAGGTTGCTCCAAAAGCAATGCCTCCTATTTATTTCCATGGAAACCACAACAGCTATAAAGAACACAACAGCACTGTTTGGTAGAGCAAATTCTCAGCTACAAAACACTATTTTTCAACACAGTCATTGTCACTAGCTGATTCATATAGATGAGCTGGTTGAGACTCTCTTCATTTTGTGGTATGACAGCTGTGCATGGCCATCCAGAATGTGGCTTTCATGTCACTGCTGCCACTGCTGAAACGCACCACGCACCACCTCCCTGTGCTCACATTCACTGCTTGGTCTCCATAAATGTTCACCAAGCATCAGTGAATGTCAGTGGGTGCCATTTTTTCCTGCACGGAGTTAATCAATGAGACCTCTTTTCTTCATCCATACTTCCATGTCAGACACCATTCTGTCTGCTGCCATCTGTCACACAGCAACAACATGTAGCACAGTGTTGGCTGGAAGGTTCAATCTCTACTGCCATACCACCACCATCTGCCTCTGACTTAATAACATAGGACAGAATGGTTCTGGAGTGGCTTTTATAATACAGCATCCCTTTTAAAACACTGCAGAAAACCTGCAGCAGCTCTGCCTTGACTCCTGCTCCCATATGCCTTGGGATTTTCCTCACTCCGCTGAATGGAGGACCTTGTCTTGCTGTTGGAGTGACCCTGGCTCAGCAGTGCCAGCTCTTGGCTAAGAACCCAGAGCAGTTACCTGGCAAGAGCAGAGTGGCAGATTTTTAACATCCAGTCAGAAGCTGTAGCAAGTATTGGAGCACAGATTGAGTTTGCATTATATTAGCATCTTTGTTTGTCCTTTTCTAACAGATGATACTTCTATTGCATAGTAAATGAGTGATGTTATTTGGTATTTATCTTACAATTAAAAGCTAAAAAAAAAGAAAAGCTTAAGTCCTCTTCCCATTTCTTGGACTCTGTGAGCTTAAAATGTTCACTGCTCTGCTGCACTGATGTTCTCAGAAGATTGTTAATACACTGGTGGTCACATAGCGTGAAGTGGGAAAGCAGAACACTGCAGCTCACTGGGGCTGCACAGGAGCCAAGCAGAGACCTGCTGGCAGCACTGCTGCGCAGAGCCCAACTGCACTGTCGCAGGAGAGGAAAGCTTTGGTCGTGGAGGGACAGTAGGTCTGGGGGATTACTGAGCATGCAGTGCAACGCCTTACAAATAAGAAGCAGATCTGTGCTGGCCCTTTGTCCTGCAGGTGGCAAGGAGATTTTCTGCAGAGTCTCATTTATGCTGATGTCTCCTGTAGGAAGAATGGGCCCTGGGGCATTTATTTCTCATGCAAATGTTGCAGAAAGAGTCTGTGATCTTCTTTGGGATCCTGAGAAATGTGGCTGTAATGGAGCAAGGCCAGCCTGCCTTCATCTGCGTTCTCATGAAGAGAACATACTGCATGCAGATCAGCTTTGTGTGCCTCAGGGCTGATCACAGCTCTACATCTGAAGATCCCTGAGCTGAATGATGCACACAGCCATCCCACAGGAGGTGCAGTGCTCACCTCACAGATACAGCCAGACTGAGAAGGGGTATCTATGGATCTTATTTTCAGTAAGAAGAGCTGATGGGGACATTTCCAGCCATCTCAAGATACACTTCAGTAAGACACCACTCTGATAAGAATAATCTACATGGTACCAAAACACATGGGGCTAAAAAAGGTGTGTTTGCTAGCACAGGACAATTCTTGTATTAGTTTGCTTCTGGAAAGAACAAGGATTTAGACCAGTGCCTGCACGTTTATAGACAATCCTTTAGGGACTTCATACTACCCAGGGAGCAACTGGCCAGAAACTGCCGTGCACATTTCCCCTGAAGTCTGGTCCTGTTAGCCATTGCCTTTCTCTCTCAGGAAGATGGGATCACAGCAGAGGGAATTCCCAGACATGGGAGGGTATGGAGCAGGGTGGGCGCTCAGACACTGAGTCTTCCTGCAGACTCTGTTCTCAGCCTTCCCTTTCACTGGGTTCAAGGAGAGGACCAAACAAATCCCAAATTGAACAAACAAGCCCTGTGTGTCTCTACAAGCTTATCAGCATGGCTGGAGCTTTCCTTTAATTTCTTGTTTGCTTGTTTGGGAGAGAATTCTGCAGTGGCTTGACAGATGGGTTATTGTGTGCGACTCCCTGCATGCACAACTAGGTCAACCGCCAGGCAGGCACTGTGCAAGCGTGAGGCTCCCCCGGATCAGCCAGCGGCTGCACATTATATTTTCAGAATTAGCTAGGTAGGAGAGAATGTCCTTCCTGGCATGTGCTATCCTGAAACTGTAGTCCCTTTGCTCGAGTCATCTGAAACCTCTTCTCAGTCCCAGCTGCAAAGAGTGTGATATCCATGGCATTCGTTTGCCCCCCCCCCCTCAGCAAAGAGAGACTGCAGCAGTGCAACATCAGGGGTTTCTCTTCTCCCTCCCTTTGAACTCATAACTTCAGCACGATGCAGCTCACCTGCCATCAGAGAGATCAGCTTTTCAAAGCAATTGGAATAAGTCTGGGGTAAGATAAAAGTGAAGGGATAAGGACCCAGGATATTTTTATTGGGACTGCTTCTACTCACCATATGGACACAATTCTTATCACTGCCGTAGGCAAAGAACAATAAGACGGCAAAAAGGATGGCTGCTCTTGCGTCTATGCAGTTGGAGTTCAGGGTTCTGCCAAAACATGGTTTCACTGACTCCATATGTAGTGGAGCTGATTTTGTTGTATTAGTGTGGAAATGCTGCTGCAAGAACATATTTTTGGCTGTTGCTCAGAAACTGCTGCCAGCCCTCTGCACAGCCTGTGAGACCTTTAATGCTGCAGGCTTGCCTTTAAGGGGAAAGTCCCTCAGAATAAATGTTTCCACATCACTCTCAGCTCAGATGTCCAGCTAAGCTGTAAATGAAACTAGAATGGAATGGAATGGAATGGAATGGAATGGAATGGAATGGAATAGAGTAGAATAGAATAGAATAGAATAGAATAGAATAGAATAGAATAGAATAGAATAGAATAGAATAGAATAGAATA